GTACATATCCTTTTGTATGTCTCTGCCTATGTGAACTTTAATTTATATTAGTGCAAAGTTCAGATTCTGTATCATTGTAAAGTAGTCATGGTTGAGTTTTTTCTCAAGGAGCTTTCTGAGCAAAGGCACTCAGTCATTTTCCATTTTGGAGTTTGTGTTATAAATCATCTTTTGACTGGTTTCTTCTTTGTGGTTCCTGTCTGAAATTCTAGTCCAATCATATATTTTAAGAATCATCTCCAAATGTTTTTCATTTTCCTCTGGAAATTCAATTCATAGATCCCTCAAGGTCAGTAACACTGTTAATCTATTAACAACCAGCCTCTGACAAGAATCTGAAAATAGTTTTTGAGCTATGCCTATTTGACACTATATGGGTTCATTTTATTTTGCATTTATTTTTACAACAGTTTGCCGGAGTCTGGAATAAATAATGCAGTAGTAAAATAGTTCCCTTTAAATAAAGTCTTCTGTAATTTTATCAGTGAATACATCAAACAATCTGCCTAAGAAGACAGTGTGGTGTTTATTTTCTAACATTAGAACCTCACTGTCCATAACCCTACATTCTGAGTTCGCTGAATTATTAGAGTGGAATTGAATTAAAACATCTTTTTTTTCCAACCATATTACACTTTTTCATCCAAAGCATCCATTTTCCCTTTTCTCAATTTAAACTCTTTCCCAGAATCATAGAATTGCAGGATGGTTCAGATTGGAAGGGACCTTAAAGATTATCTAGTTCCAACACCCCTATCAAGGACAGGGACACCTTGCCCACATTTCTCAAAGCCCCATCCAGCCTGGCCTTGAGCACCTCCAGAGACTGAGGAGTCCACAACTGCTCTGGGCAACCTGTTCCAATACCTTGCCACCCTCACAAGAAAGAGTTTCTTAGAGTTCCTAATATCTAATCTAAACCTACCCTCTTTCAGCTTAAAGCCATTTCCCCTTGTCATGTCATTACATGCCCTTGTTAAAAGAATGCCTCTCCAGTTTCTCGTAAGCCCCTCTTTGCTGCTGGGAGGCTGCTATAAGGCTTCCCTGAAGCCTTCTCTTCTCCAGGCTGAAGAGTCCCAGCTCTCAGCCTGTCTTCATAGGAGAGGGGTTCCAGCCCTGTGACCACCTTAGTGGCCTTAGTGGACTTGTTCCAACCAGTCAACACCTTTCTTGTATTGAGGACCCCAGAGCAGGATGCCACACTCCAGCTGGAGTCTCACCAGAGCAGAGTAGAAGGACAGAATCCCTTCCTTCACCCTGCAGGCCACACTGGGTTTTGATGCAGCCTAGGATGGGGTTGGCTTTCTGAGCTGCAAGTGCACTTTGCCAGGTTGTGTTTTGCTTTTTGTCCACAAACAACCTCAAGTCTGTCTAACCAGCACTGCTCTCAATCCATTCTCTGCACAGCCTGGATTTGGGCTTGGAATTGCCCGAATCCAGGTGGAGGACCTAGCACTTGGCCTTGTTGAACTGTATGAGGTTCATACAAATGGACATCTGAAGCCTGTCAAGGTTCCTCTGGATGACATCCCTTCCCTCCAGCGTGTCAACTGCACCACAAAGTTTGGTGTCATCAGCAAACTTGCTGAAGGTGTGTGAAACCGCACTGCCCCTGTCAATAACAAAAATGTTTAAAGTGCCAATACCAACCCATGAGGAGGAAGCAAGAAAATTCCTTGACTTTAAGGATATTTCTTTGTTAGTTCTTTCCTTTCTCTCTGTAGTATCCTTGAAACATCATTAAACATTTGATGCTAGCAGGTATGATTTAAGTGCAGTTGTTTAACCAAAAATTTTGAAGTAAAGGGATAAAATGCTTTCAAAATCAGATTCATATTTTCTCTTGCTATGTAAGGAAATCCCTTATGATTCTGACACCTGTGGAAAAGGAGAAAGCTACATAATACTATTTTTAATAGTCTTTGTTACTACTTTGTCCTACTTTCCACTTTCCTCCTTTTAGAAACACAGATAGTGAGATTTTTTTAAAAAGTAACTCATGTAGATAGTCTTTTTTATATTTATGTCTGTTTGGAGATAAGTTTTAGTTTCTCTTCACCTTCGTCTCTTCAGGAAGTGAGAATAAAGATCTAGTTCTGTCCTGTAATTTCCATTTCATAAATCCACAATGCACCTTGCCATGTTAGTGTGATCTTCTAAGGAATAGTTGCATTTCCACAGCATTTCATCTGTGCATACCTGACCAGAGTGCTGCCATTTCACATATCCAGCAGCTCTTGCACACAGCTGATTCTTTGAAGTGACATGAGAAAACCTAATAGCAAATCTGCCTGTGGCAAATGAGAGGTAGATATACATGGGCAGAAGTGGCGCAGACTCATCTTTTTCTTCTGTGTTTAGCCCATGCCTTGTGTGCCCTGCTGTCTGGTATTTACTCACCCCAAGTTCAACATGACCACAAAATCTGAGAGTGGTTGCTTGGTACTGAAGGAATTGCTAGTAATGGGGAAAAATGAAAGAGTACATTGTGTATGAAAAGGAAAGATTCTCGCAGAATAGCCATTTATCCAATGCATTCCATAAGCAAGTTTTGGTGGAACTGCATCTTTCTCCAAGTAAACAAAACATGTTGATGCATGGTAGCACAGTTTCATTTTTGACTAGAAGTCATGTCAGGGATATGAGGATTTCTGCTTTTTATACAATTAACTAGCAAGCTGCAATTTCCTCTGTAATTGGCATACTTAACTGGATGATCTCCTGCTGTTTGAATGATTTGCATCTTCCCATGTATTGTTTCTGCTTGCTGGATCTCTACTGTTACTAAACTAGAAGCAGTCTTGTGTACAGTCTATACTCTTTTTGCTACTGCCTTGCTATTCTCATTTACTCTTTGTTTGTCTGATGAAAATAAGAGCTCTGTGCTCAGAGGGAACATTTTCCCTTTGTTACCCGTTTAACAGCACTTAGGTGTAACAGGTCTTTTGTTGATACACCTAATAGACTTCACACTGACCTATGTAATACTGCTTCATGCCACATGTTGACCTTTTTTTAATGTAAATTACTGTGTCTGTAGTCAAGGAAATATTTCTTAATTAAAAACTTAGAAGCATAGACAATCTGAGTTTTCATGCAGTTCTTAATACAGCTTGATCTTAGTTTTATTTCTTCTTTATTTCTTCATCCCATTGTCACCATTAGACATGTCTTGGGATTTTGGGAACTCTTCTGAGACTTTCCTCTGCTAGGGAGAGTTGTAGGATAGCACAAATAGTTCAGAAAGATTTTGGATAATGTAGGAGCATAATTTCTTTCAATAAATATATAAAATAAAATGGTAGTCAAAATACTAAGACTGGTTATAAGAAGGATGCATTGTGTGAAAGGAGTCATTGTTGAAAAGAGAAATTCAATGTTTGACATGAAACCTGAACACTCAAATTTGAAATTACATGGCTGGCAAACTTTCCCAGGATTATTTTGGCAGTCTCCATCTCAAAGTTCAACAAGTGTCAGTACACAGCATATAATTAACAGCCTTTTTTACATTTGCAATGCTGATGTGAATGTAGGCTGTTTTTTAATGAAAAGTTTTCTTATTTAATTTCAAAAAGAAACTGTCCATGTGATAGTGGACTGTGACATGAAAATTAAAAAATTTTCCATAGCTGTACCATACAAAAGCAGTAGTTAATTACTTATTTAGTACTTGATCTCAAAAGGTGTTTTTTTTTTCTACATTAACAGAGTGGCTGACACATAAACCTAATTCAGTTCACACACAGCATAACATAAAATCAGTAAATAATCACCTGTTATTTAATGAAACTTAATCAAGAAACAACCACGTGCTCTTTTTTCTTTATCTTCCTCTGTTTCTCTTTCTCTTCCTCTCTTTCTCTTCCTTTCTCTTTCTCTTTCTCTTTCTCTTTCTCTTTCTCTTTCTCTTTCTCTTTCTCTTTCTCTTTCTCTTTCTCTTTCTCTTTCTTTCTCATGTGTGTGGTGTCTAAATTGCTGTTGTTTTAATTAATAATAATAATTTTATTTTTTAAATTTATTTTCATTATTTACATTTCATGAAGTTCATCTATTCACCATTCCAGTTAGTGAAATTTTTGGAATGCTGTCAAAGAAACTCCCTGATCTTTCTGTCTAAATTCACTTCACTATTACATTGCCTTCTAATATTAACATACATATTATTTTTGTCAAAACACGTCATTCTACCTATAGGTTGGGCTACAGTGATGAATTTTTACATAATGTTAGAACACCAGTTAAGGGACACCTGCTGTTGGAATTGTGAAATGATTTCTACTGGTACTCTTAGGAAGGCATTTTTTTCTAATATCTGATCTGCCTGTTTGGAATGATATTGCTTATAAACAGTAAACATCAGCCTGGGATAGTTTCTCAATTGATTTTTAATATTATTTATCTAGAGTCTTGGGGAAGTTTATACTTCAGCTGGTGTTTCTGACAATGGAAGAAAGTAAACTAGAACCATTATCAGTAGAGCCAGGTCAAAAAGTTGTATGTATTTGGTTACAGGTAAAAGCCCACTGACAGAATAGCTGGGGTAGAGAGAAGAGATAAAAATCAAAATGCAGTGAAGTCGTGGAAGAGACAGGACCAGGCTAAAGGATGGTGTTGTAAATGGAAACAATATAGCTGAGAAGATGTCATAAACCTATCACATCTTTTCAGCACTGATACCCTAAAACATTGTAATAAAAACACTGACAAAAGCACTGACACCCTAAAATGTTTGCTGTTGTATATAAGAGTGATTTGTGTTTCTCCTCCTGCAAACATACCATTCTAGGTGAACAGTTTTGTATCTTGGTAGAATATAACTCAATAACCAGTGAGAAGTGCAGCTTTCATTGAAACTAGAAACATTTCAAACTCATTTTACTGCTGACAAGTATTTTTTTAACTCAGAGCAATTGTCTTGGATGTGGGAAGGGGAAATACCTTTATATATGTTTTCTGGTTTGTGCTAATCTATTTATGCTTTTGCTTTTTAATCATAGGTTTCTGTGCTCGAGAGGCAGATATTTGACTTCCTTGGTTATCAGTGGGCACCCATCCTCGCAAATTTTATACACATTATTATAGTCATACTTGGCTTATTTGGAACCATCCAGTATAGACCTCGTTACATAACAGGAGTGAGTATTTAATTTCATTTACTTCCTTTGATATGCATGTGATAAAACAAACAAACAAACAAACAAACAGAAAAGCACTCCAAACTGCATCATTCTTAAAGCAAATATAAATCTTATCTTGGTTTAATTTTCTTCTGTAACATTTTTACATTTACTTACTGTGCTTTTGGGACACCTGCAATTATCAACTGGTAACAGTCTCCAAAATTTAAAAGTCAATATGGTCATTAAGTGCATGACAATATGAACTTTCAAGTGGAGTCAGCTTAAGGATTTACAACACCTTCAGTATTAGGGGAATTTAGAGCTAGTCTAAATGTTAGCCATAACTTTCCTAGATACATTGGACTTCCCCAACAGAGGGGTTATTCATTATAGGTACTTATTATTGTTATTAACTTCTGTTGCTAGAGTGCTTATCTGTTATGTACATGCCTCCTAGAATTTATAATCCAACCTGAAAGTGAGATATGATGTTATGGTAAGAAATAATGGACTGAGGGCTCCAGTATGAAAATAAGGATTTGGACCTTAATTAATGTTTTTAATCCATTTCTTTTCTTATTCAGCTACACCTTATACACAGACTTAGTATGTCTGTACTCTCTGGCACAATGCAGTATTAATTAAATCCTCTTTTCATACTCTGGGTTTGTGGGGTTTTTGCCATTTGTACTTCTACAAAGAAAGAATAACAGCAACTCTGAAAACCATCATTCAGAATACCTTTTGTTCCATTTTCATAACAATATTACTGTCAAAATTGACTATTAATTCATATAAAGCTTATATACATTTGAGAGACAGGAGTTGAAAAATTTGCCCATACACAACCATATTTTCATGTCAGATGAAAGCAAGGGGATCTTAAAATGATAGAATGGTTTGCATTGGAAGTAAGCTTAAAGATCACCTGGTTCCAGCCTGGCAGGGGCACCTTTCAGTAGACCAGATTGCTTTAAACTCCACTCCAACCTGCTCTTGAGCCCTTCTGGGGATGGGGCATCCACAGCTTCTCTGGGCAACATGTTCTAGTGTCTCACCAGCCCCACAGTGAGGAAGATTTCCTAATATCTAATCTGAACCTATTCTCAGTTTGCTCTTTCAGTTTAAAGCCTTTACCCCTTGTCTCTGTTAACTCCACTGAATCTGTACCCTCTTCTGCAAAGTCTCTCTCTTAATTGTTCCCTCATACACCAGCAGTCACTCAGAATATAGAAATATTTTGCTTTTACCCCTGTGCTACCATCCATATTGCATTATGTGATGCCAAGAAAAATACATTAACATTTGTGTCCTTGTTTCTGTGTCTGTGATCTCCTGTAGGCAAAAAATTTGCATCCACATGTATGATGCCTTCATGCATGCACACAATTTAATATATTTGAGAGAAAGAAAGACAGAGAAGGTCTTTTCACCAGGGCCTGTAGTGACAGAAAAAGGAACAATAGGTTTAAACTGAAAGAAGGCAGGGTTAAATTGAACATAAGGAAGAAAATGTTTACAATGAGGCTGGCAAGACACTGAAACAGATCAGCCAGAGAATTTGTGTATGCCCCATCCTTGGTAGTGTTCAAGACCATGTTGGACAGGACTTTGAAAAATCTAATCTAGAGAAAAATATCCATGCCAATGGCAGGGGACTAAAGGATTTTAAAAGGTCCCTTACAAACTTATGCCTGGTCACATTAAGTCCGTGAGAAAAGGATAGATAATTAGTAGTACATTACTTAACATGTAACTGCTGATATACATGTGAAAAAAAAACAAAGAGGAAGAGGCAATTACCTTATGTCTGAGCTTCTTGCAGTGTCATCAGTCTGCAAAACCATTGGGCCCTAGAGAATACAGCTGAGTTAATCTACGTCTTTTTAAAGACTAAACGTGGTCAATTGCTGAACACACCTAGTGGGATCTACTTAATGTCTTATATGACATGCAGCCCTGACTCTATCAATTCGGGTTTGGAATATTTCTGTTGTTAACTGAAATTTATTATCTTCCTTTTTTAAAAAAAGTATTCAAAGTAGTACATGAAAATGTGCAGCAGTTCATCTTCCATATGTACGTACCAGGATACTATCCAACAACTGTAATCATGCCATGGGAAATTGTAAAGCCTCTGAGCTACCTTTTTGAATTTTAAAGACAGTAAGACGGTCTCCATATGGTGAATGATTTGGCCAGGATTTTTGGTGAGAAAACATTTCAGAAGATTGTTTTGCTAAATCTTGTTAAGAGAACCAATTTTCAGATAAAACAGTTGTTTATAATAAAAGGATTCTTATGCTTAACATTTTTAATAAGTGATGGCATTAATACACCTTATTGACATAATTTATCTTCCAGATAATGGTTTTATTTATAATAAGAAGTATGTGTACACAAGCTCAGCACAGAAATTGTTAAAAAATATATCTTCACAGAATCCCATAATGGGTAAGGTTAAAGGGACCACAGTGGAATATCGAGTCCAACTTCCCTGCTCAAGCAGGGTCATTCTAAAACTCATGGCACAGGATGGCATCAAGATGGTTTTTAATATCTCCAGTGAGGGAGACTCTGCAACTTCTCTGAGCAACTTGTTCTACTGCTCATTCATCTGCACAATAAACAAGTTTTCCTCTTATTTTACTTCTGCTTTCTTTATAACAGGGGAAAAAATATGTTTAAAACCATTTAACAAAAAGGATGATGAAATTAAGTAGAATGGTCATTGTGCATTCTTGTCAGCCTGCAAGACACAAAATTTCAAAGTCTGTGAAGTCAGACTCCTACCTGAATCTGCTCTCTGTAAAAGGTTTTCTTAGGAAGTACTTTTCCATTCTGAGACAAACTGTACTTACTGTGTTGCAACTGAAATGTAGGCATTTATTTATAGAAGGAGGCACACAGACATTACTTCTCTGCTCTACACAGATTTTCAGAGCAAATGATAATTTGGGAACATAAGCAATAATTTTCTGCATAATCATTTTGAGCTAATGCCCAATAATATTATAAGTACAATTAAATAAATGACCTTGAACATTTTAGTAGTAGCTCTGTCTGGTAGCTGTCACAGGAGGCTGTGAATCAAGATTCTGATTCTGTTTCAAGCTGTGCTATTGGAAAGATGATTTGTTTGTTCAAGTTTGTTGAAGCACACATAATAATATTCTTCAGTTTCTTCCTTGATACAGTAGCTTGGCATGGATGGGAATATTTTTTTCTGTTGTTCTTAGAATCATAGAACCATAGAATGTGCTGAGTTGGAACGAACTTATCAGGATCATTGAGTTCAATTTCTGGCCCTGCACAAGACACTCCAAGACTCACACCGTGTGAGTGTGTGTGTCCATGTGTGTGCCTGAGAGCATTGTCCAAATTCTTCCTGAACTCGGACAGGCTGGTGCTGTGATCACTTCTGGGGGGAGCCTGTTCCAGTGCTCAACCACCCTGTGCGTGAAAAATCTTTTTCTGATATCCAGCCTGAACTTTTCCTGTCTCAGCTTTATGCCATTTCATTAAGTCCTGTCACAAGTCACCAGGGAGAAGAGGTCAGTGCCTATCTCTCCATTTCCCCTTGTGAGGATGCTGAAAACCAAAATGAGGTCTCCCCTCAGGTTCCACTTTTCTAGGCTGAACAAACCAAGTGACCTCAGCCCCTCTTCATAAGGGGCTCCAGACTATTCCCCATCCTTTTGTCACTCCTTTGGATGTTCTTTTATAAATCACTATCTCTTTTATGTTGTGCTGCCCAAAAGTGCTCTTAGGGTTGAAGGTGAGGCCGCCCCAGTGCAGAGCAGGGCAGGACAATCCCCTCCCTTGCCTGGCTGGTGATGCTGTCCCTGATGCTCCCCAGGACACATTTGGCCCTCTTGGCTGCCAGGGCACTGCTGACTCATGCTCAACTTGCCACTGACCAGGACCCCCAGGTCCCTTTCCATGGGACTGCTCTCCAGACTCTTATACCCCAGTTTATAAAAACCAGGGTTACCCCATTCCAAGTGCTGAATCTGGCACTTATACTTGTTAAATTTCATATGGAGATGATTGCCCATCTCTCTAATTTGTCAGAGTCTCTCTGCAGGACCTCTCTGCCCTTGAGGGAGTTGATGGCTCCTCCCAGTTTGGCGTCCTTTCCAAACTTAGTACTCCTTTGAGTCCTTCATCCAAGTCATAAATGAAGATATTGAAGAGCACAGAGGTGCCTATGGAGCCCTATGGAACCCCACTAGTGACAGGACACTAGCCTGATGTGACCCCATTGACTATAAACCATTGTACCCAGCTCATGTTGCTTACCCATCACATAACACAGTTATCTAGCTGTGAACTGGACACTTTGTCCAGAACGTTGCTGTGGGAGACAGTATCAAAAACTTTGCTGAAGTCCAAAAAGAATACATTTCCTTGCATTTCTAGATCAACAAAAGGTGGGTTAGCCTGATGTAGAAGGAAATCAGGGTTGATAAGCAGGATTTTCCCTTCTTGAAGCCATGCTGACTGTTACTGATGACTGTGTTGTCCTCCAAGCATTTTTCAATATCTCCTGGAATAATATTTTTCCATTATTTTGGCAGACACTGAAGTGAGACTGATAGACACGTAGTTTCCAGGGTCCTTCTTCTTGCCATTTTGAAAACTGGGACAATGTTAGCTAGCTTCCAGTCAGCTGGAAGTCTACCTCTCTGGATTCCCAGTGCTACTCAGAAATGATCCAGAGAGGCTTTGCGGTGTCATCAGCTAGCTCTTTGAGGAATTTGGATTAATCTCATCAGGCTACATAGATTTGTAGGGATCCAGCTGGAGCAGCAGATCCCACAAAAGTTCAGGATCAATTGGGAGTTATGCATTCTCACTGGCATGGTCCTCCAGCTCAGGGGACTGAGACCTTTGTGGCCCATTCTCCATGTTGAAGACAGAGGGAATGAATGCATAAACAACCCTGTCTTTTCTCTGTCCCTTATGTGTTCATACCTATATATTCATTTCTGTATTTCAATGTGTTTAGTTAA